GGGCTCAATCCCAGGACCCTGGGATCATGACCTGAGCCCAAGGCAGACGCTTAACAACTGAGCCACCCAGGTGCCCCAAAAAGGTATTTTTTATAGGAATAATTTCAGTGTATGTGTTTTACCCAAGTCTAAAATAGCCAACCATTCACTCAATTTTCAATTTGAGGAAAAAATTTAAGATTATTTAAGCCATCCATTCATTTTCCTCTGCTTTTTCTCTCCTCTAGGACCCAAGCCCTTCAACTGCCCCAAAATGTAATCTAAAGCTAAAAACTGGGACACCTGGGTGGCTCAGTCGGTTAAGCGTCTGCCTTCGGCTCAGGTCATGATCCCAGGGTCCTGGGATCAAGCCCTGCATTGGGCTCCCTGCTCCGTGGGAAGCCTGCTTCTCCCTCTCCCACTCCCCCTGCTTGTGTTCCCTCTCTCGCTGTATCTCTGTCAAATAAATAAATAAAATCTTAAAAAAAATTTTTTTTAAAAAAGCTAAAAACTAAACTGCATTAGTGGTAACCTCCCAATAATCGAATTGGCTCTACAAATCATATTGGCCACATAAAAAGATTAAAATAGGGTAGTTCAAACTGAATAAAAACTTCTTACCATTGTATTTTATTATTTCATGTTATAGTTAGAGTTTTTTTCTACACTTACTGTCCATCTTCACTCCAGATTGCCATACACTTGTCTCCTACTTTCCATGAATGACTGGGCTGAGTAGAAGCAAAACTGTCTGAACTTGCAAGAGTTTCTGAAGGTTGAGTTGACAGAAGGTCTTTGGTTAGTTCTATAACTTCCTAAAAAGAAAAAACAAAAACCATAACATTACTTTTATAATTCGCTTATCACCTACTTTCAACAGGTTTTCAGGTTTTGATGACGATAGCTCTCATACCATATACCATTTATTAAGTACACTACACATACTTATTTGTAGTTCGTAACAATACTATGATGTAGGTACTACGATTATTTTCACATAAAAACTAAGATACAGTATTTTATAGAGTGGTGGAACTGGTATTTAAACCCAGACAGTTGCCTTTCAATTTATTAACCTCAAATACTAACAAAAAAGGGTAAACTTGAGCTTATACCATGCATTATTTCTTTTTTCAAGTAAGCTCTACACCCAATGTGGGGCCTGAATTCCCGGCTCTGATATCAGGCGTCACCTGCTCTACTGACTGAGCCAGCAAGGCGCCCCTACCATGCATTATTTCTAAGTGCCTATTTTAGCTACATAGATCTAATATGAGAAATAGTCAATTATGAAGGACTAAACTAGGTTCAAGATCACTTTTATCTCATACCTTGTCACATATATTTCATGCACCTGGACTGTAAAGTTTTACAGGGCATTACTTGGCAGAAGTATGAACTCTCCAGCCAAAATGTTCTTCTCCACCCCTGTCAAAAAATACAAACCAAAACAAAACCCAAACCTCTTGAAGTAGCCTTATTAGTAATAAAAATGTTCCTGCTCATACATGCTTCTACTAAAATACTCTAAGCACATATAAAAAGCCAGCGGTCTTCCTATTCATTTATTATAAAACTTACCCCATCCAGGTAAGCAAATTACCAGGTTAGATTTAAAATATTCTAAAAAGCAGGGACGCCTGGGTGGCTCAGTCGGTTAAGCGTCTGCCTTCGGCTTGGGTCATGATTCCAGGGTCCTGGGATCGAGTCCCACATCGGGCTCCCTGCTCGGCGGGGAGCCTGCTTCTCCCTCTCCCTCTGCCTGCCGCTCCCCCCTGCTTGTGTTCTCTATCACTGTGTCAAATAAATAAATAAAATCTTAAAAAATAATAATAAATAAAATATTCTAAAAAGCACATCAGCACAGCTTCATTTAAAAGGAAAAAAAATAAAATAAATGTAACACACAGGCAGGCAATACCTTCCTGTGTGGCAAGTATTTTTTCTCTATCAGGTTTATACTGGCTTCATTCAAGGGTATTTGGTAGGGTTGGTTAAAAAACTTAATAGTACAAATTGATAGATTGTGCTACCTATCTGCTATATTTTTACTCTGATGAAGACCTATGTAATGCATCACCTTATCTGATTTATTTTAAAAACTTGCATACCTGCCCCCAGTGTTGCATATAAAATACCTTAAAACATCACACTGTGTTTTGGGAGAAAACGTAGCAAAGTTAAACTTTATACTGAGTTCCTTATGGCTCCTGTTGAAGTTTTATAATAGTAGTTCAGGTTCAGTAGCCAAGAAATTATATATTACCTTTCACCTAAAGATTCTAGATCTTCATGGCTATTTCTGAAAAACTAATATTTGAGCCTTCCAAAAAAAAAAAAGGAATATTAAGCCCTTGGGAGAAAGGCCAGTTTTGTGAATCAAAAAACTAGACTAACTCAGATTTGAGTTAAAAATTCAGTAGAGTAGTGTCTTTAATGAGATTTTATTAGGTGCCGAAGAGCCATTTAAATATCCTTTAATTAGACAATCCTTTGCAAATAAAGCACAGAACTTCTGCATAAGTAGATCATGTACTATTACAAAGAAGGAGAGAATTATCCAGGCTTGTTTTTAATCAACCACTATTAGGACCAAGAATAAAATTCCAGTAAGCCTGACTCAAGAGCCAATACAATACCTATCATTAAATAATTTCATTTAACTAAAGCACAAACATGATTTCTATATTTGTAGGTCTCAGATTTAGAACTCTACCTCTCTAAGCATAGAGCATCTTACCATTTTATTTTCATAAAGAAATCCATTTTCAACAAAAGGTCCTGAAAAGCTGTGCATGTGACAATTTTCAGAGCCCTGCACTGAAGTGACACTTTTAAAAAAAATCAAAAGCATTTATCCCTAGTTGTCCTTTCATTTTGCCATGTTTCACATACCCCTCCCAACAAACTATGAAGACCCTTCTCAATGTTTTCTTTACATGTGCACACGGACCAAAGTATTAGAGAAACTATTTTATGTATGAGGGGGTTCTTAAAGGTACATACCATTAATTACTTTTCCTCCCCCAAGTCTGAGCTCTGAAACTGCTCCTTCATCGACAGATGGGCAGCAGTTACAGTAATCGGCAATTCCAGGAAGCATCAGATGTTGTGATCTACATATCAGCAGGTCAAAGGGTGCACTCAAGCACTCTGCTTACTGAAGGAAGGCGTTTCGGGGATGCAGAGAGCCACTGTAATATATGAGACAAGTGACTTGACCCCTGCCTCCTTTAGAACCAGTTTATTCAGCAAAACAGCCTAATAAATTGACTATTTTTGTGATTATCACAGACTGCCTGGGGAGCTAGTCAGGTAGCTAGCCTAGATCTTACTATACCCACATTTTTAAGTGAAAAGAGGCAATTAGGACTTCAGTAGATTAATGTGCTGCCTGCTGAGTAACTTTATTCTATGTGAAAGACAGTACATAAAAAAGATAAACATGGAAGCCTTACTGGCAAAATGAAGTCGCTGAAAAAAATGCAGAAAAGCATTTTGTCATAAATGAAAGGGCAAACAAATTCATAACCAGGAAAAAGACATTCCACTAAAGGAACACAAAACAAAGGAGGCCACAAACTCAGTCATTAGTCTGAACAAATTTTCAGCAAATATAAAAGGCAGAATTAAATATCAAAGGCATGAGGTATATATCCCAGGAACAGAGAAGAGATAAAAAGGAAAAATATTTTTTAAAAATCCATGATAAAACAAGATGTAACTGTAATCAATGGAGACAACAATTACTAGGTGGAAGCCGACACCTAAACACTTTTCAAATCTTTATCTAATCTTCAATGATGTCTTCTATCTTTGGGTAGTTTTCAGTTCAAAACAAACCTGTATCTAGCAAACTGAAATGAAAAATTTGTTTTCATGACAAAGAGGAAAAGAAACTGTGATCAAGACTGGTCAGGAAAAACATTCTGCATTACTACTATCTGAAGTTTTAGAATTTAAGCTTCTAAATCTGTGCTATCCAATATGGTAGTCACAAGTGGCTACTTAAAAAAAATTAAAAATTCAGTTCTTCAGCTACCCTAGCCGTATTTCAAATATTCAGTAGTCCCTAGTAGCTACAGTACGACACAGCAGATATAAAACACTTTTATCATGACACAAAGTTCTACTGGACAGTGCTGTTCTAAATGGTTACAGAAAAGAGGATACTTACAGATAAATGACCCCCCAGGTCATTATTAACTGAACACTAAGTTAAGCCATTTATGTGCTTATTACAATACCTACCACAACAGTCTCTCTCCCTACAATACTTCCACTATAGATCATATCATAGTAAGGCAATTCTGCCTAGACTCTTGACAGTTTATTCTAGAAATATTAAAAAAAAAAAACCCAAAAAACCCCTCACAATAATGTTGAGTTTCAACCTTCACTCCCAACTTCCCCTCTACCAGTTCCACACATAAGCTTCTTCCAACTGCCCAGGAAGCAATATACATAATACCAACAATGTTTTATTTTCTTCAAAGAAAAAAAAGGACTGCTTTTAAGCTGGTAAAAGAAGATGCATGCCAGAATCTTTCTTTGAGGTAAACAGAAAGTTGGCCTGGGAGTGGGAGAAATTGCTCCCCAAACATCTTTTTAGTATTGACTAGCACTCTCAAATTCACTGGCCTGACTTTTACATACTGAAGAGGGGTCCCATTTTCTGTGTTTTTAAAAATTACATACTATTGCAACTTCAGGCAAGTTTATCCTAATTCCACAATTTGAACCTGAAAATATTCAACTAATTTTAATTATGCCCAGATAAACTCTTTCCAAGTCCTTGTATCTGGACCCCATTTCAAATAAGTTTCATTTATTTGCAGTTCTAATATCCCTAAAATATTAATTTTAATGGCCAAGAGGATGATAAAGGGAGGGAAAGGATTTAGATAGAATAAAGATGATTCTAGTTTTGCACTAAATCAGTAAAGAAAGACCATCAAATCAAAACACCTTTTAAAACTTTCAAAAAAATCAGGCTCAAAATTTTAAGTTCTCAAATTTATTAAAATGAAGTGATATATATGTACATATATACAGTATTTTTATTAATCAACCTCGTGTTCTGAGAAACAACAGATGTTTACTATAATGGTTTTATGCTTGTCTTGAAACCCCAGTGCAGGTTTTAAAAAGGCAAGCTTCATACCTACTGAACTTTCCCATGACAGACAAAACAAATTAAGATCTCCTTTCTACATCCATTCAATTTAACTTCAACAAGTGTTAAGAACTACAATGTAAAATCTAGCCTTAAATTCAAACATTATATAACACTTATGCAGAAAACAAGTATCTCTTTACATATCTTTATAATGTGTTTTTCAATACAAGGTGTTTACCTGCAAGCTTTGAAACACACACACTCTCATTTTCAAAGAATCTTGTGACATTAAAAAGAATCTTAATCAGGTTGTATTTTATCACTTATAAAATGCTTCCACATTTTTTTTTTAAATACCAGCATAGTTAACTTTTTTAATTCCATGTATTTTTCTCCTTTTAGTTACCTCTCAAACTAAATTTCCTTTGCCAGATCTTTAAAAATAAAAGCACTTTCCACTGTAAAGTTGTATGTACCTATTCTCTAGAAGGTTTGACAGAGACTTCTAAATTCAACTCTTATTTTTAAAAATTATATGAACAGACAAGATTTACATAAGAACAATGGTTTACTCATTTTGATGTACACAACAGAGGAAGCAGCCCTACTTCTGTGAGCCATGTACATGTGCATATACACATGTACACACAAGGGAGGACAGTGGAAGAAACACTCCCCTCCAAATGGTGCTTTGGATCCTAAGCAATAAATCATTTCAAAAACAAAGAAATACTTTTTCTAAACAATGTAATTATTAGTGTCCTCTTATACTTACTTGTAAATCTTTCTTTAATTTTAGCAAATCTTCATTTTCTCCGTTTCCAGACAATGCAGCTTCAACTTGCTGGAGTTGAGCTTTGTAGCTTGCCAGCTGCTTTGCTAAATCCTCTGACATCTGGGGAAAATAAAAAAGGTAAGACCATGAAAACTGAAAGAAAAACACCATAAAAATAATTTCTCTGTCTGCCTGACTTAATCCTTACCAGTTTTGCTCCCAACTCCTTAATATAATTCATTGCTGCAGCTTAATTTAATACCATCACCTTTACTCTTAGTTCTGAGAAAAGCTGTGAGTCAAATCCAAGCTTCAAGGGAATGAATTCCGCAGATTATAAACTTGTTTTGTTTCTGTGTGGAATTTATCGGACAAGAGCTAAGACAAAAGGAAAAAGGAGAATTTCTAATTTTCTTTACACTCCTGTAACAGGGAAGAGACTGTATTTGGCTCAATTAACAGGGTTGTTACATCTTCGCCGGGGGAGGGGGGGGCACTAAACTGTTGGAAGAGTCGAGAATTAAGAAAAAAAATACTTTTAAGCACTAAAGAACACTTCCAAAACAAAATATAAATGGCTTTTGGATTAACTACATAAATATACTCTCTACGTGAGCTACTAATTAGTAAGTGTGTTCAGAACCTCTTCTCCAGAGCAAAAATGTTTCAGCCGGCCACTTAAACATTGCCGATGCAGCGTCTTCATTAAAGAAAACGGCACAAAGCCTACCCCATTTAGGCATTGTAAGGAGCGTGCCTTTCACCCAATCTGGCTCATTCTCCTCCGGAAAATAAGATACAAGAATCCTTTCTCGATTTATAAGGCAAACACGCGGGGTTTCCGAGGACCCTTCTCTGTCTCACAATTCCCGTCCAACCACAGCCTGGAATTTGGAAAGGCTCCAAAGGGGCTAGAGCAAGCCAGGCACCCAACACCTCAAAGCCCGCCACAACTGGCCGATTATTTCAGACCTCGAAATTCAAACACAAGCTCCAAGGAAACGGAAAACACAAACGGAGAGGACCCCAGCAGTGCCGGAGCCTCACACCCCCAAACGCGCTCCGCAGAACTGCTGAGGGCTTCCTCAAGAGGCCTCTCCATCCCTACCCCACCCGACCGGTTTCCTGGGTTAGCCCCGGTCGTCGCCACCGCACCGAGGCCCCAGCCCCGTCCGGGGCTGCTCAGGGCCCAACTCTGGGTGGCAGAGGAGACCGGGCCCCTAAGACTCTTGCCGGCGCCGAGGCCTCTCCAACGCGGCCCGCTCCTCGGCCTCAGGCCTCCGCTTCAACCAGGGAGAGGCCGAGGCCCGGCGAGGCGCTGCTCTCTCCCTCACCGGCTTCGTTACCTTGTGTGGGGCTGGGGGCAGGGCGGCAGGAAGGGGTCGGGGCAAATGAGCACAGTGGTGGCGGCGGCGACAGTGGCAGCAGCAGCAGCAGCAGCAGGAAAAATCTCCGCGGCAACAACAAGGCGACTCGGTCCGAAACGGGAGAACTTGGTCAGCGATGTGGGGGGAGGGGAAGAAAGCCGGGCACAAGAAGGAGGAAAAGACAGAAGAGGTTCGAGTCTCGCGAGAGGTTAAAAGCCTCGCGAGACGCCGCCCTACCCACGTGATGCCCAGCTTTCTCTGGGCCGCCCAGCCTTACTCGCGTTAGGTACGCGGAGTGGGCGGAGCTTCATAGAAAGGAAATGACGTAGCTAGGTTGCGCCAGATGCCGGATGTAGGTTTGTCTTATTCCAATTTCTGCTGCGAGTGCAGGGTCCTTGACTTCCTTAGGAGTGGGTGTTGTTGGGCCCTTCCTTAAGTTCCCCAGGGAGTAATCGCGTGTGCTTTAGACTAGCGGTGCTAGGAGGTGGGAGGAACGGAGTTTAATGCAGAGTGCATCATAGCGGTTCGTTCGCAAAATGTGGTCCGCGCAACCCCTGCATTACCATCGTCTGGTAACTTATTACCAGTGCCAAATTCTCAGCACCCACTCCAGACCTTCTGAATCCGAAACTCAAGGTGGCTCAGCAGCCTGTTTTAACAAGCGCTTCAGGTGATAACCAATTATCGGCTCAAGTTTTAGAGCCATCGCTTTATATAATAAAAGCGTTAGTAGCAATAAAAAGCTAATTGTGGCAGAACTTGTTGAAGGTTGATTTATTTAAAACCTATTTTGTTAGAACCTGCTTGGTTTTAATAAAGTAAATTATATAGGTTAATCTCGCCTGAGAGGGAACAATCTCCAAGTTACTGACTTGAATGATAGGCAGAGTGATGTGAATACTTCGTTTACGTTTAGAAAGAAATGTATGTTTGTAATAATATATACTCTTTATATATACATAAACCTATCGAGAGATTTGGAATAGAAGCCAAATGTTTTCACTGATTATATTTTTCATTGTTTACCCTTTCTAAATTTTTTCCATACGTGTATCATTTTTTCCAGTTAAAAATATAAAATCCGGGGCGCCTGGGTGGCTCAGTCCTTAAGCGTCTGCCTTCGGCTCAGGTCATGATCCCAGGGTCCTGGGATCGAGCCCGCATCGGGCTCCCTGCTCCGTGGGAAGCCTGCTTCTCCCTCTCCCACTCCCCCTGCTTGTGTTCCCTCTCTCGCTGTGTCTCTCTCTGTCAAATAAGTAAATAATATTAAAATATATATATAAAATCCCGTGAGACAAAGAGGCTATATGAATGCCAGGGAAGAACCTTCTCTGGGGGTTTGGGGTCTGTTGCAGGACCCTTAAGGCCCTCCTCTCAGATGGGCTCTTTTGGACTGTGACATCTTGCTCTAGTTCCTTCTTGCTTTTTTGAAGGGGCCTTCCCTTTTTTTCTCTACATACACAGACATATCCTTCTCATTGAGTCAGATAACCTACAGAGATGGAAACTAGGTTTGTGATAATTGGGGTGGCAATTTGGAAAAACTGAAATGTAGAGGGCAGCAGTGTGTAGCTAGAATTAAGAGGAAAGACAGACCAGAAAGGATGTATTTCCTTAACATAATAGAAATTTGTTTAAAATATAGTGTAGTTTAAAAAACTGCACTTACTCTAATTGTGTGTGAAGAACTAATGCCAGGAGGACCTTCCTTGAATATAAAGTAAACTTTGCAGTTGTGTAAAAATCTTTCAATTAAGAGAACTCTTTGTTTTATTTATTTAAGTAATCTCTACACCCAGTGTGGGGCTGAACTCAATGACCCTGAGATCAAGAAGTGCATGCTCTTCTGATTGAGCACCCCTCAAATAGGAGAACTCTTAATGAACCACCTCCAGATCAGAAAATAGGAAAATATTTATTATAAGCTCATGTATGGATTTCTATATCATCCTGATAGCTTTTGTTTTCAGGATTGCTTTTAATCTCTCACTCCTCTGTACAATATAGGTTATATTTGGTGGGGAAAAAAGCAATATAGTTTTAATTTTAATTCTCATAAAGAAATAACAGTTGTATATACCAGGTGCCATTCTAAGCACTTTACATGTACTCATTTAATTTTTACAGTGGTTCAATAGCTGTTAGAGACAAAATTGGAGCAAGTATAAACTTTGACCAAGAGTGATACTTCAAATAACTGTTCAGACTTACCACCTCCATTGAAGTGTGAAAATCTACTTTCAGTGTCTAATTTTTCTTAAAACATTCTCATTCAAATTTGATCATGCTTATTCTTCAAAAAGAGCAGTATCTTAAAACCTCTAGTTCTTTAAACCTGGTATTTATTTTATTGAAACCTAGTAGGTAAAATAACATTTGAAGACTCCAAACTGTCATTAGAATATACAGCCATTTCCTTTCATTACTGAAGAAAATTAAAATATAGCAGCTGCCTTTGGAAATATGCCAGTCCACTGCAGAGTGCAAGAGTATGTGACAAACTATTGGTTAAATGACAGATTGCATTCTTTTTTTTTTTTTTTAAGATTTTTATTTATTTAAGAGAGAGAGAATGTGAGGGGAGGCGGTGGAAAGAGCAAAGGGAGAGGGACAAGCAGACTCCACTGAGTGTAGAGCCTGACTCGGGGATTGATCTCAAGACACTGACCTGAGCCGAAATCAAGAGTCAGATGCTCAACTGATTGAGCCATCCAGGTGCTCCATGAGATTTCATTCTTTAGTTTAGCTTTTATTACCTCTCTTCCTGACTAAATGTAGCACCAGATTTGCCCACATTTTTTGCAATCTTGACAAATGCCTAAGATGATGAATTAGAGATGTGTACATAGTTATAATAACTGCTTGTGCCTTTGCCCTCTTTAGTCATAATAGGTGTTTTGAATGTTTGCGTGGAGAGTTGCTGCAGGGCAGGCTACTGGCTTTTTGTACTTATTGAGTGTTTTTGCACACAGTGCATTGAAAATATACCCTGAGGTGATTCTTAGATGCCATCATTCATTTAAAGGTGATAGAAAAACACCCTTAAATGGATGCTGACCAGTGCAGGTGCTCATCAGTCATAGCAATTCTGGTTTGTTCACTTATAGTTGCACTGCCTTGCTTATCTTAGGATGTGCATTTTCAGCTATTCCTGTGTTTTACATGTACCACTAAAGAACTGAAAACATGCCACCAAAAAGAGAAAACAGGATTCCTTCAGTTTGAAAAAGATTAAACTAAACCTAAGGCTTTACAAGGATCAGAAATGGCAGTCATTCAAAATTCTTTAGACATATTTGAAAATGGTGTTTAATAATAGTCTTACATATGTTCTTAGTGGGATATACTCTGAGGGCAAAAAGACCAAAAAGAAAAACTCAGATGTCACAGATTTATTCTAATAGTACTATTGGCAATGCAGTTTTGAAACTTTATATGTCTACTATAAAGTAAATAATATATGTTAGCAATCTAAGAGAAAAGAAATGAAAAATATAAAATAAAAGAAGGTTTGGGGGGAAGTCCTCTGACGTTAAATTTGAATTAGAGCTGTTTTTGTATATATATCTTAGAAGTATATATATAATTTCTCCCAATGGAGGGTGCCCATATCTTGATATCTAGATCCCTTTCTCCACAAAAGAAACAGCAAGTGGAGAAGTGGTTGTTTTCAGGTCTCAGGCCGAGAAAATACAAAAGTACAAAGGTGAGCCTAGAACACCTTGCCAGAAAGCCAGGAAGTACCCCAAAACTAGTCCCTATCAGTTTTGTCAAAACTCACAGAATCAAGTTCAATTCCTCTGGCCAAATGTGAGTCAAGTTGGGCTAAACAGAATAATGACTGTGACAGATGATCAAAGCACTGAATGCATTTTTAAAGTTCCTAAGTCTAGAATGATACTCAGAATCAAGGGTAAGGGAAGGGTTTTTTTTTTTCCTTTGTAGGAAAATGCCAGCTAGTACCTATAGATAGAATAATACAATTGGAAAAATCTGTGCGGTCCCCAATAATTGAGGCAAAGATCATCAACGGACACTAGAACCTATCTTGTAAAAGGAAGTAGGGAAAAGGGGATGTGTGCAGTGTCACAGTATCACCCCACAGATTACTTAATTATAAAGTAATTAACCTAGTGATCACACTTAACACCACTAATGGTGAACAACCTGACTTTATAGGCCTTTTGATTTGATGCAACATGAAGTAACAGCATTACCGATGAAAGAACTCTGCCAAAATTGCTTAACCTGAATATAATCAAGCCTTTTGACCCAAATTTCTGCCTACAGGAAATATAGAGGAACAGATAAAATGACCCTGAGGGAAGAATCTGATCCAAAATATGAGACATTCTATAAGAAAATGCCTAAATTCTTCAAAAGGTTGGTGTTGTTAAAAAGAGTTGGGGAGGGATGCTTGGGTGGCTCAGTTGGTTAAGCTTCCGACTCGATTTTGGCACGGGTCATGATCTGAGGGTTGTGAGATTGAGTCCCATGTCAGGCTCCACGCTGAGCTGGGATCCTGCTTAAGATTCTCTCTCTTCCCCTCTCTCTCTGCCCCTCCCCACCTCAAAAAAGAAAAAAAGAGTGGGGGACTCCTAGATTAAAAGACAAAAGACCAAAAGACATAACAATAAGTGCAATGGGTAAATCTTGATTGGGTCTTGGTTTGAAAAAGCTATAAAAGAAATTTTGAGGATACTTTGGAAAATTTGAATATGGACTGGGTATTAGATGGTATTGTATTATTGTTAACTTTATTGAGTGTGAAATTTACTTAGGTTGTGAAATTTACTTAGGTTACTTAGAAGAATGACCTGCTCAGGTATTTAGGGATGAAGTGCCATACATCTGTAATTTATCTTTAAATGGTTCAGCCAAAAAAAATTGTATGAAATTTCATGAAATTCATGTGGGTGTGTGTATGTATATGTATACATACGTATATATATATATGTCCATGTGTGTATATACACACACAGTAGTCTCCCCTCATCCACATTGGGGGGGAACATATGTTACAAAACCCCCAGTGGATGCCCGAAACCACAAATAGTAGTACCAAACCCTATATATACTTTTTTTTCCTGTACATAAAATAGCTTTAATAAGTTTAATTTATAAATTGGGCACAGTAAGAGATTAACAATAATAAATAATAAAATAGAACAACTATAACAATATACCA